AGAGAGAGAGAGAGAGAGAGAGAGAGAGAGAGAGAGAGATGATTTCAATATGACAACACAAAACATTAAACCAGCACAGACTCTGTGAAATTGCACAGGTCACACACACTTGAAGATAGATGTGGGGTATCGAATTATTTAACATGTTCTTCTATTCTTAATCTTTATAACTTCCATCAAATGACTCTCTTCCTGATGGATCTGGGTGAGAGAAGGTGGAAGAAGCTACCAGTAGGATGATGTTATTCAATTGTCAATGATTGTTAACAGAGTTAGTTATGATTATAAAAATTTGGAATTGTAACATTGGTATAAACAAAACCATCTCAGAATCAAGGTAGGAGGTGGGCGGTGGATCTCACTAACTTTAAGAAGAAGACCTAGGAGTAGTGTGTGTCCTTTGGACCCAAGGATCCTTGTGCACTGAACCTCCTTGATCCAGAGATAAAAAGGTGTAGTACCAGAGAAGTGACAAAGCAGCAGAAGCATCAGAACCAAGAGCCAGAGCCTAAGACAGAAAAATGGGCTTCTCATTCCACAGAGCAAGTACAGAAGGGTGGCACTGGGTTGGAGGCTCACTTGCAGAGTGCTGTGCTTTAGGCGCTTAGTTAGGAGAGCCAGGTTTCCTGCCCCATGGAGCTATAAGCCTGAGATTATAGTGGAGGGGTGGTCCTGGGGTATTTATCAGCAGCCCTAAATATTGTAACATTGCCCAGGCAGAGAGAGGCCTGCCTGTGATCATTACTGAGCAAAGACTATTCTGAGTGAAGTACTGTGCCCTGAAAAAGGTCTGATCCTTCATCATAACCTATCAACTTCCCTAATATACCACATGTCTGTGAATTTGGAGTCTGGGTTTTGTGTAGTCATTTCAATGAATTATCAAATCCAGCTGAGTAGGGAATACTGTGGGTTGGGAAGAAATTGTTTGGTGCTTTTTATTTTATTTTATTTTTTTGGCCTTGTACATTGATTATACTTTAGTATCTAGTAGTTATAACAGAAATACCACGAGTGGATGGCTTAACAACCAGATATTTCTTCTCTAATAGTATAGGAGGCTACTGGTTTGAATTCAGAGGACCAGCTCTGACAAAGGCTTTCTCTTCATCAGTCTGGGGAAAGATCCTTGACTCCTTTCAACATTTGTAGCCACAGAATTTTTTTTTTTTAATTTCCATACACTTTGGCATTAATCTTCCCCAGGATCTAGGTGCTTCACAGTGCTGGGACCCAGGACCAAAGGACATACTCCACTCCTAGCTATTTTATCTTGGTAGTATTAAGTGTCTCTTTCTCAATTCTTTTTCCTTTATATCTTGTAAGATAAAAAGGTATTGCATACCAAAACCTTGGGTTGTTGCTGTTGTTAAGTGCTGTTGAGTCAGTTCTGACCCAAGCAACCCTGTATAGGATTTCCAAGGAGTGACTGGCGAACTTGAACTGCTGACCTTGCAGTTCAAACCAACTTTGCAACCCAGTGCATTAACTCACAGAGCCACACCATGAGTCCAAACCTTGGAAATCTCCCATAAATAAGATAAAGGTGGTGGTGGGATTAAGAGTATTGTGATTGTTGTTAAAAGCTGTCTAATTGGTTTGGACTCATAGTGACCTTGTATAGAGTTTCCAAGGGGTGACTGGTGGGTTTGAGCTGCCAACCTTTAGGTTAGCAGTCCAGTGCTTAACCTACAGCACCAATAATAATATTAAGGGTGGGTTAGAGTCCTGATACTCTAACCCATGCATAATATTCTTATTGGTTTATCACATCAAACCACACCATGCAGGATAGCAACATTTCAGCTGCCATTCACAGAATTCTGACCTAGTCAAGTGACACAAAACCTTAATTATCACAATCCATCCCTTGTCAAGTGAGCACCTGGATATATCTGTGTAAACAATACACAATCTATAAATAAAGACAGCCATAAAGTCATTCTACTAGCACAATGCCACTAGCATTCATATAACCAAAAACATACTAGTCCCATTATGTTGTTAGGGCGTAGAGCCTTGGACCCTTGCAAACCCTGACCAAAAGTTTGGTAACCTTGAAGCCTTGCAAACCCTGGCCAAAAGCCTAGGAAACTTGGGGTCCTGGAAATCCCTGAAAGAAAAAATCACAGAGCATATTGACATTTATGAAAAAAAAAAAAAATAACAGAATGGTTTTCATATACCACAATCCCACAAAACAATACCCAACTTTGGATAAACTAACAAAATAACCACAAATTCCCTCCTTTCCTAAAAAAACAAAGCAACAACAGGTTACTGGGGGATGCACACAAGAATCAGAAGATGATAGTTCAAGCTATCTTAAAATAGCTCAAGATAATCATCATAGACAATAAGCAGCTATTGATATCTATGCATATGTCACAATCCCATAATGAATATAGACAATGTTCCCTAGATACCCTTGTGACAGATTCCATCCTGAAAGTGCAGACTCCATAGTGAAGGTAAAGCTTGAGTGCAGCTCCAGTGAGAGGAGGGATGGAAGGAATGTTCACTGTCAGGCCACTATAGGAATCTTTCCCCTGGGATAATTCCAAACTAGTCTTCCATTTGGGAAATTGCCCTTTTAAACTCTGGTTTTGTATGCTCGAAGAGACACTGCTTCTGTAGCAAGCATCCCTTGCAAAGCACTCTTTAATAAATCTTTCTTCCTCTTGCAAGATATTCTTTAATAAATCTTTCTTTCTGAGTGACAACTTTATAGTCTAGATATTCATGGGCCCAGGTCCAATAACATTTAAGCTGGTGACTCTGTCAGGACACCTGCCCTGAGGAAGGAACTCCAGACCTTGAACCACCCTTTTATGGTTAGCGATTGTGGAAGCCAAGACATATTTGTCTCCATCTCTTCCTGGAGAATGAGTTCCCAGGGCACAGACATCTCTTAGATCAATTCTAATTTGTCACTCTCCTCCTTTCCTGGTTTCCTTCTGTTACTTTAATTACAATTTTGAATAACCCTCCAGAAGGCCAGGGGTATCTTGCTAAGCGGAGGAGTCAAAAGGGAACCTGTTAAGTCCCCATGGAAGCCACTGAACTGTATGGTCCAGGCATTGACCACTGACCGTATGGGTTGGAATTGACCTCCAGGAGACCAGTGGGGCCTCAGTAAGCAAGTTATTAGGGCTTGTGCTGTTTTTCTTTTCTGACTCATGGAAGCCCTCCATGAACTTTTCTTTTGCTTTTCTACTGATAATTTGGAAGACCCTTCATGAGGCCAGTGTGGACTCAGTAAGTATAGGTTATTATCTATTTCTTTTCTTTTCTCACTCATCTGCTCCTCCTCAACCTGGAGGAATATTTGTGCTAGTGTTCATCCTTTGTACTAAAGAGCTTGTCCTGGAAATTTCTTCTCTACTGATAGGGTTTTCTGACTCTCTTAATCCTTGTCAATGAAACTCTTGAGACTTTCATGTTAAACTCTATCCAGCATTTGGAGGCCTCTTTCTGTATTTTCTCTTTTCAGACCAGGAGCCCAGAGACTCTAAATTGGCCAGAGGATTGGTGCCCAGAATTTAGCTAGTTAATATAACTACAAGAATGCTTTCAAGAAGACTTTAATCAAAGTTAAAGAGAAAATAATTTACAATGGGCTATAAGAGTCCTGGTGTGGCGCAGTGGGTTAATGTGCCAGACTGCAAAGCCATTTGAACTGCAAGGTCGGCTGTTCAAGCTCACCAGTTGCTCCTTGGAAACCCTATACAGGGTCGATATGGGTCGGAACCAACTCAATGGCACTTAACAACAACAATGTAAGAGGAAAAGTGAAGTCAGTTGACAGAAAGTTTGTCTCACCACGTAAAACGGGAAATGGGGCCATTAAAATGAACTTTCTTGGGTGTTACTTTGAGAAAGATACCTTAAAGAAGAGAAAGCTCAAGATGCTATGTAACCAGGTTTAGTTGTAGTATGATCTGGCAGATAGAGTTATTTAGGTTCTATTTTCAAAAGATTCAAGAACTCACTAAGTAAAATGAAAGCTACACAACTGCTGGAGACAACAGTCAAGTGGAAAAGCAGAGAAAATAACCCACACCCTAAAGAAAACTCTGGAAAAACCTTGCCAAGAGACCAGTCTAATTTGGAACTAGTTACTCCCCCTTGCCCTGCTCAGAATAAGAGTTGCCCCTAGAAGCAGAACCAAATTGAGCCCTGATCCTAAAGTATAAATGTGAGTGGTTGTGAACCACTGACACCCACCTTATAGGCTATTTATCAATTTGTTTTCCTCTAAATACTTTTAATTGGCAGCCATGGGCTGCCAAAAGAACCAATAGATCTGTTTTGGAAGAAGTGCAGCCAGAGTGCTCTTTAGAGGCCAAGATGGCCAAACTTCGTCTCTCATACGTTGGACATATTGTTAGGAGGGAACAGTAGTTGGAGAAGGATATCATGTTAGGTAAGATGAAGGATCAGAGAATAAGAGGAAGACCCCCAACGAGTTGGATTGGCCAGGTGGCAGCATTGAGGGACTCAAGTGTGGCAACAGTAGTGAGGTTGGCCCAGGATTAGACATTGTTTCATTCTGCTGTGCATAATGTCGCTATGGGTCAGTACAAACTCAATGGCACCTAACAATAACAACAAATACTTTTCCATTAGAAAACCCCTTTCCACAGGTACCCCTCAGGAGACTGCATGAAAAGGTATGAAAAACCAGTACCTGCAAGAAGAATACTAAGTCAATTCCTTTACTTGCATCTCTATAACTATCCTTAAGTATACATTTATTAAGAGATAAAATAACTTTTTAACTTCTTATCTCTTTTCATGTGTTCTACTCTTTATGAAAGACTATCTAAGACAAGGGAAACCCTTGTTCTACAAGCTGAAAGGTTCCTTACCCTTCAAGCTGATAGTCCAGCAATTCCAGGTCAAAACGTTGGTCTTGCAAGGGTTCTAGCAGGACCCCACCTCTGAGTTTTCTCCAATCCCTTTAAAAGTGGCAGAGAGAGACATCTACCTAGGTAGGCTGGTCAAGGGCTATATGTAAGCTTGAAGAAGCCTGAAAAGAGTTTGGGCAACAAGAGTATCAGGATGGGTAGAGAATGGAGGGTGAGACTTTAGGGCCTTGGGGAAAAGTATCCAAGAACCTTGGGGACTTGCAGAGTTGACAAAAAACCCTGGACATGCTGACATTTATAAAAACAATACAGCAGAACATTTGACATAACTTACTCTTCTACAAGACAATACCTGACTTTCTGAGAAACCAGATAAGTAACCGCAAACTCCCTGTTGCCCTTAAAACAGAATAAGCAGGTTCCTGGATTATGTACACAAGAAAAAGAAGATGGTCTTAAAATCCAAGATGGCAATCATAGACCATACACTGGAATTGAACTGGAGGCTGTTGATATCTGCACAGGTGTAGCCATTCCATAATGAAGGTTCCCCAGAAACCATTGTGACAGATTCCATCTAGAAAGTGCAGAATCCAAAGTGAAGATAAAGTTCATATATAACTCCAAGGAAAAGAGAAATGGAGGAAGTGGAAGTTGTCAGACCACCACAGGAATCTCTACTCTGGGACCTTTTCCAAACTAGCTTCCCCTGCCCTATTTAACCCTGTAGCTTTGCACGCTAGAAAAAAACACTGCTTCAATAGCATGCCTCCCCTTGAAACGTTGTTGTTGTTGTTATTAGATGCCATCAAGTCCATACTGACTCATAACTACCCTATGCACAACTGAATGAAACACTGTCTGGTCCTGGGGCAACCTCACAATTGTTGCCACACTTGAACCCATTGATGCTGCCACTTTGCCAATCTATTTCACTGGGGAACTTCCTCTTTTTCTCTGACCCTCCACCTTACCAAACATGATAATCCTTCTCTAGTGACTTGTCTCTCCTGACAATATGTCTGAAGTATGAGAGTCAAAATTTGGCCATCCTGGCTTCCAAGGAATACTCTGACTTCACTTTCTCCAACACAGGTCTATCTGTTGGTTCTTTTGACAACCCATGGCACTTTTAAGATTCTCCTCCAACACCATAACTCAAAGCATCAGTTGTTTATGGTCTTCCTTATTCACTGTCCAGCTTTCACATACATATCAGGTTATTTAAAATACCATGGCTTTTGTCAGGTGCACCTTAGTTTTGAAGCTGATATCTTTGCTCTTCAACACTTTAAAAAGGTCTTGTGCAGCAGATTTGCCTAATGCAATATATCGTTTGATTTCTTGAATGTTGCTTCCATGAGTATTGATAGTTGATCCAAGAAGAATGAAGTCCTTGACAACTTCAATCTTTTCTCTGTTGATAAGAATGTTGCTTATTGGTCCAGTGGTGAGGGATTTTATTTTCTTTACCTCAAGATGCAATCCATACAGAAGGCTGTGGTCTTTGATCTTCATCAGTAAACGTTTCAAGTCCTCTTCACTTTCAGCAAGCAAGGTTGTATCATCTGCAATCACAGGTTGTTAATGAGTCTTCCTCCAATTCTGCTGCAATGCTTTTCTTCATGTAACCCAGCTTCTCAGATGATTTGCTCAGCATACAGGTTGAATAAGTATGGTGAAAGAATTCAACCTGTCTCACACCTTTCTGAATTTTAAGCCATTCAGTGTTCCCATGTTCTGTTCAAACAGCTTCCTCTTGGTCTATGTACAGACTCCTCGTGAGGACAATTAAGTGCTCCAGAATACTCATATTTTGAAATGTTGTCCATAGCTTGTCATGATCTACACAATTGAAAGCCCTTGTATAGTCAATAAAGCAGAGGTGAACATCTTTCTGATATTTTCTGTTTTCTTTATCAAATCTTTCTTTCTGATTGATGAATTGACTCTCCAGTCATTAATTGGCCCGGGCAATAATAACGTTATTCCAAAATTCTTCCATGACTAAATTTCAACCAGATACAAAATTCCTTTTCATCTGTGCATCTAGAATACAGATTATCTGCTTCCAAATACAATGGTGCAACAGGCAAAAAGCAGACATTTCCATTGCAAATGGCAGCAATTAAGGGGAAAGAAGGGATAACAGCTTCCAAAGAAGTTAAATTCAGAAGAACAATTTCCATTAGCCCTCAGGACTTGAAAACAATGCTTTAACTTCTAAAATCATCTAGGCAATGTTCCTGCACTCTAGATTCTGGGTAGACGTCTCTCAACCCTTGGCTTCACCTCTGCTTAATACATTGGCAAATCTGTTCCCTTGGCTTTGGGCAGTCCCATTCTCCTAGACAATCTGAGTGTTGACCCTGCCCCCTTTACTCAGTTAGGTCTCATATTTCTGTCCCATTAGACACAGCAGCCCCACCTCTTCAGTTTTGTGCAGGGATCACTCTTAATGGCAACCCTACACTCTAGAACCAATTTGATGAAGATGATAACTCTTTGAAACTTAGGAAATGACGATTACACCTTTAGAAACCATAAAAGTCATGGTTCTACCTTTTGAGATGGAGGAAGCTCTGCTCTCCATGTTTCTTGTCTCTTCATATTTGGCTCCCTGGTCCCTTTATCTCTAGAAGAGGTCAGTCTGGTCTCTAATTTTCTCAAGAACGTGTCAAAAAGCTCTTCAGTTCTAATGATAAGTGCCAGGAAGAAACTTATTCCACCCCACCAGCAAAGCCTAAACTGGAAGGCACTCAATTTTTTCACACCATGGGTCCAAGAGCCTAACTTCAATGACAATTGCCTAAAGGTACCCCACTATTCCAGGAAGCTCCTTGCATGAAGGTGCTCTGCCTTCCTGCTCAGTGTATCAGCTTCCATGCCATCAAATGTTAGTCTCCTGGTTCTGCTGCTGTTGCACTTTCTCTGCCTCTTCTTCATCTTACCATCTGTGCTGTCTCTGGTGCCACAGCTATCCTGACTTCCTCTGAGCCCTCATCAGAACTGCCTTTCACAATCTTAATCCCATCAATCTAGGCTTTCACTGGAGTCCTGGTATGGCTCTGTAGGTTAATGTACTGGACAGAAAAGTTGGTTTGAACTGCAATGTGTGTGGTTCAAGCTCACCAGCTGCTCCTCAGAAACCCTATACAATGTTACTATGGGTCAGAACTAACTTTACAGAACTTAACAACAACAACAACAAGGCTTCACTATTATTAGCCAATTTAATACTCTTCCAGTTTATGCTCACTATCCAGTTCTAAAACTGCTTCCACACTTTAGGTATTTATCAGAGTAGCACCCCATTCTTAGTACCAAATTCTGTCTTCACTACTTAGTGCTACTGTAACAGAGATATCTCAAGGAATGGTTTTAAACACTATGAATTTCTTTTCCAGAGCACCGAGTTTGGAGAGGGCTTTCTGTTCATCTGCACTGGGTAAAGGTCCTTGTTTCCTTTCAACATCTGTAGCTCCAGGATTTTGGACATTTCCATATACCTTGGCATCAATCTTCCCCAGGATCTAGACACTTCACAGTGTGGGAACCCCAAATCTAAAAGAGCCGTTCCATTCCTGGTTCTTCTGCTCAAGTTTCTCTCCTTATAGCTCTTGTAAGATAAAAGATATTGCATACCACACCCTTAGGACTTTCCCATAAATCTGTTAAAGGTGGTAGTAGGATTTAGGATGTTGTTGTTGTTATTACGTGTCATTGAGTCAGCATCCATCCATAGCAAGCCTGCATACGGTCTCTGAAGGGTGGCTGGTGGGTCTGAACTGCAGATGTTTAGGTTATCTTTCAGTGCCTATGCTACAGTGCCCACACCAGTACACTAAGGAAGTATCCCACTCTTGATTCTTTTATTGATTTATCACAGCATATCACATCATGAGGAACAGCTACATCTCAACTACCAAACCACAGAGAATTCTGGCCCAACAAAACATTAACTATCACATACTTCATTTTGTTTTTCAAAATCTTGGTGAACTAGCATGAACTCATGGCTTTACATGTACTTTCTGATTTGTATAATTTTGCAAAGTAGTTCTTCTACCCGGAGAAGCACTTATAACATAGGATTTGGCCATGTGACACAGATATACTCAATTTAACAAAAGTTTGTACTATTGGTGGATTATTTTCATGAGAGAAATGCCACTTCAATAAGCTCTCATGTAGATAGAAAAATAATTAAGGAAGATTCATTACTATGTGTGGCTTGAATATCTCTTTATCTGCATTTGGAAATTATTGACACACTCACAGAGCATTTATAACATCACAACTCACACTGATCCACAAACAGACATACTTAAGACTAAGGTGACTCACGGTTCCCAGTGACAATGATTCCCTGCCTCAGGGTCTTGATCTTTGCTTGACTGTAGATGTAGGAACAGAAATTTTCTGCTTGCTTCCGAAAATTACTATCAAGCTGCTCTTCTGGCACTTCCTCAATATGGTGTAAGAGACTGTTGTCACTTGTGGGACGATCAAACACAAAACATTTCCGTTTTGGGAAGAAGCGCCTGATACATTCTCTAGGCAGGTTGGACTTTTGGATTTTGGGATTTGTGCCTAATGAGTGAAAAGAGAGTAATCATTGAAGGGACAGCATTCAAGAAAGAGATCTGTCAAGTTTTGTTTCCTGGTATCTTTGTATTAGTACAGTATTGATCTTTGTATCTCTTTTATACAATCCTGTAAATCAACCTTGAGCCAACTACAAACAACAACAAAATCATTTGTGGACACAGTGAAGGGTCAAGGAAACAGTTCTGGAGAGGAATGGAGGGGCCCAAATGATACATCTTATGTTGGGTTTCCTCAGTCTATGTATGGAGTTCAGTAGAATATGTTTCTTTTATTACATGATTGACATATGAAAACAAATGGTCAGAAGTACTTTTCTGATCTTACTATCTTCATGTCAAAAATAAAATGTGGGTTTAGAAACAAATACTTGATTTAAGGATAAGTTATTGCTGGGAAAATATCAGGACAGGAAGACATTAAAAAAACTGAAAAATCAGAGCCCCAAACTACACACAACTTTTTTTAGCAAAAACCTCCACAAAGTAGGGTTAACCTAAATGTAGTTAGGAGACCTCACCACTTCTCTATGGCACATTATACTGCACTTGAGTGTGTCTTGCAGAGAGATTCTGTGGCAGATACCAGATGTTAAATGTTTGCTGAAGAAATGATGAAATGAAAATCTATATTCTTTTCTAAATTTAGCCACCCTCCTAAACATAATGCACATTAAGAAACCCTGATAGCTTTTTAGAATAAGCACTGGACTACCAAACACAAGGTTGACAGTTGAAAGCCACCAGCTGATCCATGGGAGACAGATGAGGCTTTCTGCTCCTTTAGTAAAACGTACGCATGAAGTATATTTTAAAAATTAATTAATTTTATTTTATTATGATTCTGTGTTTAACAACTTCCAATTTCATGAACTCTTTGTCTCAAAATAGAGCAGGAGGAGTACTTCAAACAGTACACAAATATGTGGGCCTTTAGATGTTACAGCACTAATTGTAATCTGAAAAATATATATTTCATATTAATAATTGCTCTGAAATAATTTGTTCCAATATTGTCTTCTAAATGTCATCAGCCACTGGATAGCTCCAGGAAATAATAACACATGAAAATCTTACTCTCCATTTTCCTGGGCCTCAATTTGTTCTCAGATATATTAATGTTAAGTCACTTGATATCAACCTCAACGGAACCATCTACCACCTAGACCAAGCACTTATACCTTTAATCAGCTTCAAGGAATTATCCAGGTACTTGTCTTCAGTGATAGGTTCTCCTTCTAACTTCAGCTCCAGACTGAAATCCCGAACAGTCCAAACAAAGTCTGGGAAGAAACTTATAAAATCAGTAGAGTCGCTTACTTCATCATTTCTGGAGGAGGATTTTGCCCTGATTAGCTCCGTTAGTTCAGTCACGTAGCTGGGAACTTAGCTAAGGAAGAAGCAGCACTCTACACCATAACGCCCAGATTTTATAAATAAGCTATAAATTGTATACACATTCAATTTGCCCCTATATTCCCTCTTCCTGACTCATGACAGCTGAATCACAAGAAAAAAGAGATAATTTCAGTTGACATCCTCATAAGCTGAGGAAATGTGGTGTTTAGGTTCCTGGAAGGATACTGCAGCTGCTCCAGGGCCTGGTGGTTGATGGTGCACATGCTGTTGTAGACAAAGGTGCTGCTCAGAAGTACAGCCAGCGCAAAGATCCATGAGTCATTCTTAGGGTCACCCTAGAAAGTACATTTATTTGTTTTGAGCATTCACTGTTTCAATTCTACTATGTTGTAGGATAAACATTGAACTGCTAACTGCAATATAGGCAGTTCAAACCCACCAACTGCTCCTTGGAAACCCAAAAGAGGGATATTATGAGTTGGAGCTGACATAACAGCACTTAACAAGAACAACATAGCTGACTAGGAAAGATAACTTAAATTTCTAAAATAAGACTAAATACTAACCTCTTACTTTGCATTTTCATTGACCCCTCTAAGAGCTTCCATTTCTTTAGCTTTTAAACTAAGTAAATGACATATCAATGTGTAAAATGGTTAACATAAACTTTACATTATATTAGTTGCTCAGTAAATGGAGGAAAATTATGCCTTTAGCAATGTTTTCCTTAACTAAAGACTATGTTAAGGACATCAATAAGCAAACTGATCTGCTGCTGTCAAGTCATATCTGACTAGGTGACCCCAAATAAACAAGTAGAACTAACTCATAAAGTTTGCAGCAATTTCTATTTATTTTGACTTGAAGAGAAATAGCTGTAGCATCCATTAATAACAACCATGGTGTTAAATAAAAGAAAAAGATCTATGCCTAATATACCAACATTTGTCCTTACAAAGGAATTAAGTTTCAGGAAACAAAATTTAACTTCGTTAGTCACAGTTATATTATGAGAATATATCACAAAAGTTGACTGAATGTAACAAAGTTAAAAGTAATTAGAGAATCATTAGCAAAGACAATTTCTCTTTGATTCCCTCTCTTACCTTTTCCACATCACCCAGTCCCTCAGTATCCAGAAGGACCAGGGTTTGATTGGGTTTAGAGGGGTGAGGTACACACCACATCCAGATGCCCTTGGTTTCAGACCTCACTGTGGAGCCCAGATGGAAGCCTGCAATGAAGAGGAGAAAGTAGTATCAATGACAGCAAGTAGTCAGGGCTGCCCAAGATCTGCAGTGCTTAAATTTTTAGGATGGTAATTGACTGGTAAGGAGAAGAGTTGTTTCCATTAGAACACGAACAGCAAATCAAACCATTATATTTACTAACTTCCTTCTCAAGAAACAGTTGTGTTCCCTGCTTACCTATTGCTATAAAGACTCACATTGCATCATCTTACAGAATCAATGGAAATGCTATTAAACTATACCTTTTTATCTGATGTTCTAGTGGGGGGAGGAGCATGATGTTTATGAATAAAATTAGAGAAAGGCTCACAGGAGAAGTCTACATTTCTGGTTCATTGTAAAGCAGATGCTCTTTTTCCTTATTTCAGTCTTATGTTAAGAGAAAATCACCTGTATACAGGAGACACTGGCAGGGAAAAGGACAGCAGTGAGCTGTTTCTGGCGTTCAGTTCTGCTGAAACAGGATTTCAATACAAGGTAGTTAGAACCAAACCTGAAATGTAGTCAGTAATTTGTGACTTGGGGATCTGATTTCATCATTGAAGAGATATGATTTCTTAGAATGGAAATACATCAAGTGTTTGAGATGAATGATCAAATGCCAAGAAAACTTTAGGAAAATCAGGGTAGTGTTAAAATACAGGAGGAATTAGGAATTGAGATCCTAGACTAATAAAAAATTTTCTAGGATTTTAGATCTGGAAAGAAGTCAATTGGTTATTTTATAATTTAATAAAACAATTGAATTTACAATTATATTGTGTCTGATGAAACTGAAAACTAGAAAGTGTCGATTGTTGACATAGCTACTTAGACATACAGCCTTCAATTTAGCACAAGCCCCTTGTCTCCCAACCTGTTGCTCTCTGGACTACAGTGACCCTATGTAGTCTGATATAAGGGGATGACCAACTAGTGTGAAACTAGTAAAAAAATAAAAAAGAGTAAAGGAATGTAATCAATCAGAAGAAGAAAAAGATTGGAGAGGAAGGAAAGAGGGAGGATGTCAAGTTTTCATAACTTGGTGATTATGTGTTATAATGTCCAACATGGCAGTTAAAATTTTGACATACTCATTGTCTTTGTTTACCTCCCTTTTCCTCCTATCAGATTAACTAATTTCTGTTCTGTTCACCGATCTTGTTGATCTAGGACATGGACCTTTATGTTCTTTAACCCAAGAACTCCTTGGCCTCTGGCTTCCTATAGAGTTTAACTAATGGGGAATACTACAAGAGAGCAGAAAACAGGTATGTGCTCTCCCAACTCCCATGCTGAGGGGCATGGTGAGCCAGTAATTCTATTCTTCTTGCTCTGGTTACAGTTCCTTTTACTCCGCCTTATCTGGTATCTCTGGTACTGCTACATTCTGCTATTCACTATCTGTTTGTCTTCTTAGGCCTAGAGGTAATAAGGACTACTCTGCTGTTTTCCCTGGATCTATGTTTCCCACTTCCTTGAAGGTTCTCATTGCTCTGTGTCCTTGTAAATGATCTTTCCATTACAAATGTTCAAAATGGATTTGCTCTTCCCCTTTGAGCCTGTATTTTTCTTTGTTCTCTTTAATAAAACGATGAGTTTTGTCTTCATTGTGTTAGGAGAGGATACGAAAGAGGTAAAAGCAGAAAGGACCCATGAGACATAATGGACTTTCATTCCAATATCTTAAACCCATAGCCAGAGAGATTTTCAGGCTATGACCAGGAACTGGTGAATGAGATACCCTGTTAAAATATCCAAGATTTTGACCATCTGCCATATGTAATGTTTCCTTAAACTGAGACTAGAAATGGATTTACTGAAATACCTAGGGGAGCATGAATTAGTAAGACTTAGGCAATTCAATGCCTGTACACTGTATTTTCATTGAGGAGTGGTTATAAAGCATGGATTGGTCTGTATTACTGTAAATTTCAGTGTCCATTGCCTTTGAGTCACTTTTGATTCATAGTGACCCTATAGGACAGAGTTGAACTATCCCATAGAGTTTCCAAGGTCACACATCTTTATGGAAGCAGACGGCCACAGCTTTCTCCCATGGAATGTCTGATGGGTTGGAACCACCCACCTTTCAATTAGTGGAAGGGCACTTAACCACTGTGCCAATAGGACTGGGCTCTTTTACACTCTACACCATGACTGTTTTCAATGTTTGCTAGTTCTAATAGAGTAAACCCATCTCAAGTACCCTATGAGAAAAGGCAAGGTTTAACTGAAAGATATCCTTCTTATGCATCCAAAGTATAAAATAAAACAAAGCAAATGACTTCCAAAAAAACAGAAGTAGTGACCTGGTCCTGCTCATGGAGCACTAGAAGGAGTGGTAGTCAGAATTTAGATATTTTAAAGCATCTTGAGGGTAGAGACTTCCTCAGCAGAGTGCTGAGAAATCCCATGGTTATTACTCAATGTTATGTTGAGTGGAAAATAAAAGGACATTGTTAAACTCTGTAAAAATATCCTGATGAATTTATTTGAGTTGGGCAAGGAAAAATGTCCTCTTCTCTTTATTGATGCTTAAGATCACCAGTAGAATAAAAGTGAAGACAAAATATTTTTTAAAAGCAAAGGGGAGATTGAAAAACATAAAGAAGGAATGAAGATGTAAGTAAGGAAACAGGGGAAATGAGAGGAACAAGGAAAGATAGGAAGAGGAAAGATAGAAAGATAGGGAGCGAGATGAAGAGAGAAGCTAAGAAACAAAGACAGAAGTAGAGACTTCTGTGTAGTTTAGTGGATTGAATTTTAATTCTTAGTGGTGTTAAAAGGAAGTGAAGTGTTAGGGGGGAAATGGCTGCAAAGTCTTCCTGGATAGACCATGACAAATTTCTGAAACTCAATAAAAACTAAAGGCGATAACTCAGTAGGAACAAGATTTAGAAAATTGTCAATACAAAGACATATGTGAAAGAGTTTTCAACATCCCTTATTGTTGCTTTGTTGTTAGGAGCCATTGAGTCGGTACTGACTCATAGTGACCTTATACACAGCAGAATGAAACACTGCCCAATCCTGGGCCAACCTCACAATTGTTGCCACACTTGAGCCCATTGATGCTGCCCTTACAAGCAGGCAAAAATTAAGTGCTGAACTGCTAACCAAAAATCGGTGGTTTCTTGGAAGAAAGATCTGGTAAATTGACTGCCAAAAGATCAGTCATTGGAAATCTTATGGAGCACAGTTCTACTCAGCATATATAGGACTGTCATATAGCGGAAGTGATTTGACAGAAACTGGTTTAGTTTTTGATTTTGTATAGTAACCAGATCAGCACACGTCTAAAAGTTTGATAGTGTTGAAGTTTTGTAAGGCTGTGGAAAATTCTCTGTTACAACTAATAAGCATATAAATTGCACATAAAGTTTGAAAGTCATTTGATATTATCTATAACAATTAAAGACATACATACCCTGTGATTCAGGAATTCCATTCTGGAGTATTTATATACAGGTGGTTTGTGTACATAAGCAATAGGTTATAAACAAAAAAAAATTTCAAGACAATCATGTTCATGAAAGATAAAAATTGAGTATTATGCATATTTTCATTCATAATAAATGGATAAATCAATTTTTGTACTTTACTTATTAGTATACTGTAAGAAGCCCTGGTAATTTAGTGGGCTACATGGTGGGTTGCTAACTACAAGGCCAACAGTTTAAACCCACCAGTCACTCCAAGGAAGAACAGGGAGACTTTCTGCTCCCATAAAGATTTATGGCTTTGGAAACTCTTGTGAGTTGGAGACAACTTGAGGGCACACAGCAGCAATTTAGTACAACCACTGAACTTTTAACCACAAAGTCAGTAGCTGAAATCCACTAGCCACTCCTTGATTCAATGGCACTTAACAATAACAACAGCAGGAAGCTAAATGAGTCATTCAAACTTCCTGATGAGCCAGAAGAAAAACACAAAAGAATAAATTATAATTCAGTTTAAATAAAGTTTATATACAAGTCAAACTATGTTGATTATCTTTAAATGTCTGCATAAATTGTAAAACCATTTTCAAAAATCAAGAGAAGAAAAAGTGTCATGAAAACTAAAATGTTGGTGATTACTAGTGAGAATGTGAAAGGGTATATAATATTTGGGCTTTTTAATAATGTGACTATTTTATTTCTTGACCTGAACACTCATTGTATAGGTGCTGATTTATACTTACCAATTTTCTTGTGCATTTATTTTTTTACACACATTTATGTATGTGTTTTATTTCACCTATTAGAAAAGCCTCACAGAAGTGCCATGGAGTCAGTTCTGACTCACTGTGACCCTGTAGGTTTTCTGAGGAGTAACTGCTGACTTTGAAGCACTGACCTTACAGGTCAAACTGAAATTGCAGTCCAAGTGCTTTATCCTACAGCATTTATCAAACTTGCAACACAATGGAGCAAAACAAAACAAAAAAATCAGATGCTAGCAAGCGCCAATGAAATACAAGATATACACAAGTCCTCCTATTTGGGCACAAGTAATGCAGGAGCAAGAAAATAATTGGCAGAGCGGATTTCCTGGACAGCTGAGAGTGGAGGGATTCCAAAGGCTGATAGGGTTGGATAGAGTTTAGAGAATTCTTTATTGCTGGAGAAAGACATCCTTTGTTATTTATTACAGGATTTGTGGATAGAAATGGTAAAAATTGGGGCGCGGTGATTCCATACAATAAAAACTGCGAACTGGAAGGTCCGCAGTTAGAGCCAAACAGCCATTTGGCAGATAAAGATGAGAATTCCTGCTTCCATAAAGATTTAAAAAGCCTCAGAAACCCTATGATTTGGAACTGACTCCAAGGCACTTCACAACAGCAATGGTTAAAGTTGTAAAATTAGTGATGATAATTAGCAGGGGTTTTTTTTCAGTATGAAGAGGCCAACTTATCTTTAATATGATCTCAAAGGAGGCATGATCAGTCTGTGTTATCACTGGTTCAAACTAATGACCCTTTCCCAGAACAGTACTCACCATGGTTCTGTCCTGCAAGGCGGTTCATCAGGTAGGATTTTCCTGTACGATACAGTCCTACAATGGCTACCACCACCACAGGCTGAGAAATCGCTTCCAGAATCTCTAAAGCTTTTGGATTCACAGTCAGTTTCTCTTTATGGTTTTCCACCAAACAAATAGGGGAATTCATGATGGATCTGGAAGTCATGGTAACCTGCAACCCAGAAGAACCACACAATAGATTGAAATATCTGATTTCATGACTAATAGTTATTCAGAATGCATACATACCAGCTTTCTGCTTGTGGAATGTGTATATCAACTTCTTACTTTTGGAGTCCTGGTATGGCGCTGTGGGTTATTGCGCCAGACTGCAAAGCCGTTTGTACTGCAAGGTCGGCGGTTCAAGCTCACCAGCTGCTCCTCGGAAATCCTCTACAGAGTCGCTATGGGTTGGAACCAACTCGACGGCACTTAGTAACAACAACAACAATCTTTCATAAGGAAAATATGAACCCTTTCAGTTCAAAGACTGGTATAGTCTCTTTATATACAATAGGTTGTAAACCTTACAAAAGCTCTAAAAGTACCTTGTTCAGGTGATGCATAAATGAATAGGATAAGAAAAGCATAGCACAGATGATAAATCCCTAAAAGCATCAAAAATTAGTGGATAAATAGAGACAGAGTGGACATGAAAGAGAAGTGACTTGTTCATCAGAGGTTCTAAGAGGTGTCTTATTAATTCAACAAGTATATATTTAGTACTGACCAAGTGCTGGGTGCTCAGTATCCAGCCATGAACAAGATAGATACAAATTCCTGTCTTATGTGAGCTCAATTCTAGTAAAGGAGACAGATAGTAAATTTAAAAATAGAGCTATGTATTTATGTGTGTGTGTGTGTGTGTGTGTGTGTGTGTGTATATACATATTTGTTGTTGTTGTTAAGTGCCATCGAGTCAGTTCTGACCCATAGCGACCCTGTACAGGGTTTCTGAGG